GAGTTGGTATCCACATCTGATAGGTTTCTACTTTGTAGTTTTCTTATTTCGAATGCTCTTTCCATTGTCCTCTACTTTGTTCCTTTTTTCTTGTTTACTTCCTCTTCTTGAGTCTGTTTAGTCAAAACAAGTGAGGAATAACTTCAAAATTTTTCACCAGCTTTTCAATTGCACAAAACGGGATCTGGTTAGCACATCAAAGTGTCATAAGTTGAGAATAGAACAACAGGCACACTAAGCTGGTAAAAATCAACATGCTTTGGCATCCTTGTAAAATACAAATGTTTGGAACATATTAATTCATGGACAATGCAACAGATGGAAGGTGTTAGATGAACAAATCAAAGGTATTTTCTGTGATAAGATTGACAAAGAAAGTGGTTGACCAGTGACAAGCAAGGTCGTCCAAGCCGAAATCAAAGTTATCATGGCAAGTGAAGGAGCAATAGACCTCAAGGCCAAGGCCGGTGTTTTAAGTTAGGAAAGAAAACCATGCACACTGAGGGGATGACAATTAACGTGCGTTGGGATTCATGGGAAACACAAGGATTCAGTACATGTAAATGAAAGAGCACAATGCAACAGATAGAGGGTATTGGGTTTGAACAGAGAAGAGGTATTTTATGTGATAAGGGCGATAGTTAAAGTGGTTAGTCAATGTACAAGTAAGGTTTTCAAGAAGAAATCAGTTATCATGAGAAGTGAAGGAGCAATAATCCTCAAAGTGAAGGCCACAAACCAACCACCACATTTTAAACTGACAAGATTTTCTTTGATTGAAACAGGGGCAGAAAAATTCGTTTGTTTCGAAGAAACCCACCGTAAGGAAAGGCAAACATTAGACAGGTTCGACTGTAAATTCTCAGGATCCTCCTGGAAAATGGGATCTAATTTAAAATTTAAAACAATCACGAGTAGCATAATCTAGCATAAATGCACCCCAAAGGAATATAAGTTGGCTTTAAAGTTTGTGTGCTTAAGATAGGATTCAATTAGGAGTTTTTAGGACCCTCCTGGATAATGGGACATAGCGTTAAGATTGATATTAGATAAAAAGATGTAGAGGAAATAATACCTTTCGAAGATATAACTTAGATTAAAAATTATCGTTTAATTAGGAGTTGTTAGGACCCTCTTGAATAATAGGACCTAGCTTTAACATTTCCATTGTATAACAAAATTTAGCGTAATTTTTGGTGTAGGGTAATATAATTTAGTGGTAAAATTATCACTCTTAAGATAAAACATGACTTTTGATTTTCAGGACCCTCCTGGATAATAGGGAGTAGTTTAAGACCCTCTAAGAAAATAAGATTTATCGAAAGTCACACCTTTAGAAGATATAATTTAGATTTAAAACTGTCATTTAAATATGAGCTGTCAGGACCATCATAGATAACAAGATCTAGCTTTCAAATTCATAGTAATATTTGGTAATATGATTCAGTTTAACACTTACATATGTGCCCAGCTACCAAACTGGGGCAGTAGATTTTCTCTGTTTTATCTATTTTGTTGAAATCAAGTACCCACTTGGAGAATAGGGAGAAGCAATTTAAGTTCAACAGTCAGGCGCCCACCTAGAGAGCACAGGAATACAATTCAAGTTCAGCAGTCACGCACCCACCTGGAGAGCTCGGGAATACCATTTAAGTTTAGCAGTCAGGCGCCCACCTGGAGAGCATGGGAATACAATTCAAGTTTAGCAATCAGGTGGCCACTTGGAGAGCACGGGAATACAATTCAAGTTCAGCAGTCAGGAGCCCACCTGGAAGGCACGTGAATAAAATTCAAGTTCAGCAGTCAGGCGTTCACCTGGAGAAAGGGAAAATATGTCATATTACAATTCAAGTCGGCAACAAAGGGAATTCACTGGGAGAATACAAGTCAACAAGGCAACAAGAACCACAAGAGCAAGTTTGAAGACATAGATAGGATTTTTGTAATGCATAGGTCATAGTCTAGTCTAGCTTCTTTTTATTTTGACATGGTGTAATAAGGGGTTCAGTAGGTAGTAGCAACAACAGTAGCAATAGTGAAATCACAGGTTCATGGTAGTCTCAGCTACCAAAACATCCCAAACTACACTGACCTGATTACTTTATAGCCAAGGATATATACGCAACCTCGGAAGCAGGGTAAATCTTTCAATAATGCATCCGACGAAGTATTCGAACGGGAAAAAATCGATTATATCCGCTCACGTTATCTTTGCACGAAACTCTTCATTTTTTCAAGTAAGAGGGGCAGCTGTGAGCACGTGATTTTTGTCCTATATGAATTACTCCCACAAATTCAAAACAAAATAATTTTTTTTTCATTATTTCAAATTTTGTGGAAATTTGTGGCATTTTCCATTAATTGTTTGCATTTGTCTATGCATGTTTATTTTATTTAAGTAATGAAAAATACACAAATACGTGGCATTTGCATTTAGGATTTAATTCTATATTTTAGAATTAATTAGAAATTTAGTTGTTTTATAAAAGTGGAAAAAATCTCAAAAATAGTTTAATTTGCATTTTTAATTTTAATTTTGATTTTGAGTAGTTTTTCTTTTACTTTGTTTTTTTTAATTAATTGTGATAATCATCATTTAGGTTTAATTAGTATTTTTTTAGTTAATTAGGTTCTAGAATAAATTTAGGTTTTTATTTAATTTTGGGAAAAAGAAGAAAGAGAATTTTTGGAAAATTAATTTGAAATAGGAATCAAAAGAAGAAGAGAGTTAGTGTGGGCCTATTTTATTTAAAACACCCCAACCCAGATCTAAAATCTCCTAATACCCGTCCAGATAGCCCCAAAACCCGGCCCAATTCTGCCCTTACCCGATCTCCCCACTCAAGCCGAACGACCACGTTTAGGTTAGAAAAAATATGAGACGTCGAGATTTGTAATCCACCGGATCAGAACTGCCCTCCCTAAGTATAACAGTATCCAAATCATCCCCCTCCCCCTCTCAATCATCTCTTTTAACACACCTCATCTCAGAGACACGAACCCTAGCCGGCGCCCCAAAACTCCCAAATCCCACCGACGATGACATGATTCAATCTCCCCCAAAATCACACCCTAGAGCCTCCCCACTCCACTTGTCCCAAATCCACACTCCATTACCTTCGAATATAATCGTAATCGTTCGAATATTGAATCATAGATAGGAACCCTACATCCCCAAAATCCAAATCATCGAGTTTTCAAAGATTTGAGGTCGAAATTGGCTTCAGTTGTGTGTTTTCACTTTGGAACACACGATTAAGGCCCATTTCAGTCAAAAGTCGAAGGTTTGGGATTTTAATTCAAGACATCTTTAGGCTACATTTTAGGTAATTTTTTTACCTTTTTGTTTCTTCGTCTTTTTCTTTTGTTTTATTTTAGGTATCAGTCCCCATTTTCTCACCTGATCTTTTTTGATTGTTTTTTTTTTTCATTTTTTCAGATCTCTTATGCTTGCATGTTGCAATTTAGTTAATTGAGTAAAGTTTTCTTTTGTTATTTCATTTGTGTTATGTTTTGCAAATAAATTAAAAAAAGGAGTAAAGCAATTTTAGGCCCTTTTGAAACCTCACATCAGACCCGGTTAAGGTTGAGATTTTTAAAACTTGAATTAAAGTCAAAAGGCCCAAAAGGAATTGAATTGGGTCAAGTTCAAACCCATTAAATTGGGTCAATTGGACCCGGGTTTTGTTTGGTTGGGAGGGTAATAAAATAGGGGTTCAAGGGTAATTTGGGTAGTTTAAGTAGGGAACCTTGGGTGTAACTGCTTGGGAAGCTTCTGAGAAGCCGGGTAGGGGGACTGATAGAAAACCTGATAATTAGCTAGGGACACCTAAGCTAAAATGAGAACTAGAGAAGGACTAAAGTACAAATCTAATTTCCCTAATGCTGCCCTATTCCCTTGCCTATAAAGGCACATTTTCTTGCCTTTTAAGGCAGAGTTGAAGAGATAGAAAAAATACAAAAAATACACTGGTTTTTACTATTTTATTCATCTTTCTTCAACTTCTGAAAACCAACGTTTCTTATTCTGATACTTGAAATGGATTGATGTTTGGTTGTTGAAAGTTTTTCGGTTCAGATTTTGTTAAGAGTCACTGTTCTATTGGTTGTTGATTTCAATTTTTGAGGCTTGTGAGTTGTTGAACCGATTCTGATTCATCTAGGCTTGCAAATGTTCTAAGTCAAGAGCTGTGGTTTATTATTCAGGTACACACTTCTATTTTCCACCTAATGTAAAGCTTGGTTTGGAATCAAAATGGAGCAGTAGTTGTGTTCATAGTTTAGCTTACTTATTTATTTTATTTCATTTAAGGAGTTCTACTTATTATCCCTCTACCCCTAAATATGTGACTGGAAATTAGTATTCTGAGTATTGTATGTTCATCATAGTTTTGATTGGTGTCCCTTTTAGTCTAAGCTTTTAAATATATCCATTTGTCTTACACTATTTTGCTTTAAGGTCTAGACTTGAATCTTGTTGAATAGGGCTGATTCAAGATCTTTTGGATTGCTAAATGTGAACTAATTAAGGTGTTTCTAAGTCTGGTATGACATAGACCTGAATCTGTATGCAGGATAGGTTAAGGGCTCAGTGTCCTAGCTACTGAGTCCAATTTGCATAATGAGTTTAAAATTTAGTGCATGTTTGCTTTCATACAACAGAGCTTTGAATTTAAACAACAACAACAACAACTACCAAGTATAATCCCACTATGTGGGGTCTGGGGAGGGTAATATATAGACAGGCCTTACCCCCATCCGAAAGGGCAGAGAGGCTATTTCCAATCGACCCTCGACTCAGGGAAGTAAGGGAAAAGCAAAAACAAAATAAAACCAAAAGAGCATTAGTAACTTTAACAAAATCACGTAAATAATTGTCAAAACATATGAACCATAAATAAAAAGGCATGCAAGAATATCCAAAAGTAACTACCATAAATAACTACCATAAGGGTGACACAATTCAATATACAAAGCACTAAGGATAGCCCTGTCAAGCCTCACCCATCCCGGTAAAGGAGTGCTAGAAATTCTAGGTGCCTCTGTCCTACAACCCTGATACTAGACCTCCACGTTATCCTATCAAGGGCCATGTCCTCAGAAATCCGCATACTATCCATGTCATGCCTAATCACCTCTCCCCAGTACTTCTTAGGCCTCCCTCTGCCTCGCCTCACACCGACCACCGCTAACCACTCACAAATCCTCACCGGGGCGTCTGGACTTCTCCTCCGCATATGACCGAACCACCTGAGCCTCGCTTCTCGCATCTTCTCGTCCACCGGGGCCACCCCCACCTTCTCTCGGATAACTTCATTCTTAATCTTATCCAACCTGGTGAGCCCGCACATCCACCTAAGCATCCTTATCTCTGCAACCTTCATTCTCTGAACATGAGATTTCTTCACCGGCCAGCACTCCGCCCCATACAACATGGTAGGTCTAACCACAGCTCTATAAAATTCCCCCTTGAGTTTTTGTGGCACTTTCTTGTCACACAAGACTCTTGATACAAGACTTAACTTCGACCACCCCGCTCCTATAAGGTGAGTGACATCCCCATCGATCTCTCCGTCCCCCTGAATCAGTGACCCAAGATATTTGAAACAGTCCTTCTTGGCGATGACCTGAGACCCAATCTTCACTTTTCTGCCTACTTCGCTCGCCTCGGCACTAAACTTGCACTCCAGGTATTCTGTCTTAGGTCTTCTTATCCTGAAACCCTTAGAGTCGAGAGTCTGTCTCCACACCTCTAGTCTCTCATTAACACCGACCCTCATCTCGTCTATCAAGACTATGTCATCAGCAAATAGCATACACCAAGGCACATCCCCTTGAATATGGCGGGTTAGAGCATCCATCACCAAGGCAAAAAATAGAGGGCTAAGCGTCGATCCTTGGTGGAGCCCCATAACCACCGATAACTGGTTTGAGTCACCACCCACCGTCCTAACCCTAGTCTCATCTCCATCGTACATGTCCTTGATTACTCTGATGTAGGCTTCCGGCACGCTCTTCGCCTATAGGCACCTCCATAGCACCTCCCTTGGGACCTTGTCATATGCCTTCTCTAGATCGATAAACACCATGTGCAAGTCCTTCTTCTTATCCCTGAACTGTTTCACCAATCTACTGACCAGGTGGACAACTTATGTAGTGGAGCTACCCGGCATGAAACCGAATTAGTTCACAGATATAGATGTCCTATCCCTCACCCTCGCCTCAATCAGCCACTCCCAGACCTCGTGACTTATTAATTTGATACCCCTATATTGTTGCAGCACTGGATATCCCCTTTGTTCTTGTACAAGGGCACCACTGTACTCCACCTCCACTCCTCCGGCATCCTTTTGGTCTTGAAAATCATATTAAACAACCTGGAGAGCCACTCCACTCCTGACCTAGCCATGCATTTCCAGAACTCCACCTGGATCTCGTCAGGCCCGGTCGCTCGACCCCTACTCATCCTATGCAAAGCCCCAACGACCTCCTCCACCCTAATGCGCCTGCAGTACCCAAGGTCTCTATATTTCTCTGAATGACCTAGCTCCCTTAGATCTATGTTTTGGTCCCCCTCCTCGTTAAGAAGGTCACGAAAGTACTCCTGCCACCTCTGCTTGACTTGAGACTCCCCCATCAGAACTCCCCCATCCTCGTCCTTGATGCACCTAACTTGGTCAAGATCCCGTGCCTTCCTCTCCCTTACTTTAGCTAACCGGAATAACTTTATGTCCCCGCCTTTCTCCCCTAATTCCTCATACATGCGACCAAGAGCTTTGAATTTGTTTCTTCATTATACCTTTAGGTCTAGTTTAATTGATTTCAAGTTTGGTTTAGTTCCTTTGTTAGAGTCTGAGTCTTGCATCACATGTTTTATCTCACTGCCTTTTAGAATTCAAGTAAGGCATTTGTGTTCTTGAAGAACCATGATTCAATCAATGAATTGTGGTTCGACAAGTTGCTAAACTTGTTATGTTATGTGAGATGTTCATGGTCATTGGCAGGATCACAATCAGGATTCGAATTTCATGCAATGATTTGTCGATTTATCTTAATTAAAATGAGGACATGGAATTGTTTTTTTGTCCAGTGTTCAATTTCTTCTTTTTTTTTTTCCAGCAATGTAACAATCATTTGGGGTGTTGTTGCATGTCATTTTTCCCCTTTGTCATTTGATTTTGAAGTCTTGATATAGAGTCTTGCGATCGTTGTTTTTAAGCCTACAAAAATCTGGGCTCTCTTGGGCCAGTGTTCTCTTTTTTAAGAAAAAGGCCACATGAGTCCAAGGCTGACTCAGGCCCAATCACGTTGGAATCTAGAGATTCAGATATTATTTCATTGCGTAAATATTGATTCAAAAAATTAAATGTTCTTTTGGTACGGGTTCCATGTAATTTCAGCCAATGGATCTCTAGTATCGTTTGCTTGTGAACGTTGGGCCTCATGCCCAGCCCAAACTACCTTTAAACCTTCAACCATTCATCATTCATAATTAACTTAGGCAGTAGTAGAATTCCAACTCCCAGATGTTCAAATAATTAAATTTCTTAGGTTAAGGGAGGTGAGCCATATTAGGCAACACATATAGCTTATGGTCCTTCGAAATTTAGTTTAAATTCCCTTTTTTTAAATTTGATTCTAGCTGCGCCGTGCCAAACAAAATGACAAATGTGTAGCCCTTGGTTAATTAGTTTTGTTTTGATCTTATAATATGAGGTGTGCCACTAGTTGAATTTTCATGGCCCTCGCAAAGTTAAAACGCGTAGACACTTTAGGCGCGTTATTTTTATAACGTTATCTTTCTAAATTCAGGTGTGCATTTATGTGACCCAAATCCAAATCCTAACTAACGTTATATAAATTGTGTTGCGGACTACGGGTGCATTTATGTGACGCGCTTCAAAATGCATTTTATATGACGTTGAATTTTTCTTAAAATCAAATGAAAGTGGCTTAGAGCTAAAATTGGACATAGGTTCAAAATGTTTTAAATTAGATTAATAGGCCAATAATATCAGTTGAGTGACCGTGATAGAACCGCGGAACTCGGGAATGCCTAACACCTTCTCCTGGATTAACATAATTCCTTACCTGAATTTCTGGTTCGCAGACTGTAATACAGAGTCAATATTACCTTGACTCGAGATTTGAACCGGTGACTTGGGACACCATAAATTATCCCTAGTGGCAACTCTAAATCTTTTAATAATAAATCCCATTTCGATTGTCCTTTCATTGGAAAAACTCCCTTATACCTTTTCGGTGTGTAGGAAAAAAGAGGTGTGACAACCTTTGGTTTGGGTATTAAACCAACATCAGCTGACATAAATAGAGCCAAGGCCTACAAAAAGAATGGTTGGAAATTGTCAAAATCAAACCCTTACATTGCCTACTCTTTTGTCAAGCCACAATTTGAAGAAGTCTGAAATCCTTCTACTTAGGATGACATTGATGAAGTTTGCCAGGGGCTCAAGGAGAAGTTCTATGGGATTAATATGGTTCAAGTTGGTTAGGGACCCAGCTGTGCAAGTGTTCAGCTGATTGGTCCCGGTACCTCGCTCAACAACTGGGAAGCAACTCCACTTCCCTTTAGGAAGGAGTCTTGGTAGTATGTTTTGTTACTTTTTCTGCATTTGGATTATTTTCAGGGTTGTAATCCAGATATTTTAGTTTAGTTGCTTTGCTTTGATGTTAACCTTTCTATCCTTTCAAATTCAATGAAATGAAGTTCCTGTTTCATAGTAGAATTCTGTCTTTTCCTTTCCCTAATTTTTGTTAAAATCTTATCATTTTCAGTTTTATTAATGCTGGCTTTAAAAACATGACATGCACATGGAATTCATGCCCAGATCTTAAAAAGTTGTCTAATCTCGAAATAATGAATCAAAAAGTCGAGTATGATGAAGATGAGGCTCTAAAGGAAATAAAAAGGGAATTGGATCAGTTTGAGAATAAGCCTAAGCCTTACTTAAATGAAACAGAGGCGATTAACCTAGGATGTCCTGAAGAAATTAAATAAACAAAAATAAGCATTCATATTGAGCATAACACGAGAGATGTCATAATTCATGTTTTGTTCGAGTATAAAGATATATTTTCTTGGTGGTATGATGACATGCCGGGTTTGAGTGCCGATTTAGTGATCCATAAGCTACCAACATATCCTAATTTTCCATCAATCCAGCAAAAACAAAGGAAGTTTTAGACAGACATGAGTGATAAGATTAAAGAAGAAATCATGAAGCAACTAAGTGAAAATGTGATCAAGGTCGTCCGGTATTCCACATGGTTTGCAAATGTTGTGCCAGTGCTAAAGAAGGATGGCAAAATTAGAGTTTGTGTCGACTGTAGGGAATTAAACAAAGCAAGGCCAAAGGACAACTTTCCTCTACCCAACATTCATATCCTTGTTGACAATCATGCTAAACATGAGATCCAATATTTTGTGGATTGTTATGCCGGGTATCACAAAATTCTGATGGATGATGAAGGTACAAAAAAGACCGTCTTAACCACTCCATGGGAACTTATTACTATAGGATCATGCCATTTGGTTTAAAGAATGCAGGAGCAACTTACATAAGGGCCATGACTACTATATTCCATGACATGATGCACAAAGAGATTGAGGTGTATGTTGATGATGTGATCATTAAGTCTAGAACACAAGATAATAATGTGTAAGACTTGAAAAAGTTCTTTAAAAGGCTATGAAGGTACAATCTCAAACTCAATCCATCCAAATGTGCATTTGGAGTTCCTTCTAGGAATCCTTCTATGAAGCTTTTGGGTTTTATAGTTAGTCGAAGAGGCATTGAGTTAGATCCCTCAAAGATAAAGACCATTCGAGAGCTGCATCCCCCAGAGAATAAAAAAGAAGTCATGAGTTTGCTCGGGAGGTTGAACTACATCAGTAGGTTCATTGCGCAGCTTACAACCACATGTGAGCCTATTTTTAAGTTTTTGAAAAAGAACGCGGCTATCAAGTGGACAGATGATTGCCAAGAAGCTTTTGAAAAGATCAAGAAATATTTGTCAAATCCCCTTATTTTGGTCCCGCCAGAACCTGGTAGGGCCTCTATTTTTATATCTGTCAGTAATGGATAGTTCCTTTGGCTGTGTTTTGGGTTAACATGATTCCACAGGCAAAAAAGAACAAGCAATATATTATTTGAGCAAAAAGTTCACCACTTATGAGGCCAAACATACTCTTTTGGAAAGGACATGTTGTGCCTTAACCTGGATCGATCATAAGCTTAGGCATTATCTTTTAGCCTATACAACTTACGTCATATCCCGAATGGATCCCCTGAAGTATATTTTTCAGAAGCCGATGCCAACTGGCGGATTGGCAAAATGGAAATTCTTGCTCACAGAGTTTTGATATTGTTTATGTCACTCATACTACCATGAAGGCACAAGCTTTGGCTGATTATCTGGCAGAAAACCTAGCTGTTGATGAGTATGAATCTTTGAACACATACTTCCCATATGAAGAGGTTAATTTAGTTAAAGACGTAGTCCAAGATGACTGTCAAATTTGGAAACTATACATTGATGGGGCTGTCAACATCAAAGGCATAGAGATTGGTGCAATTCTTGTATCACCTTCTGGGCAACATTAACCTGCGACGGCGTGACTTCGTTTCTTCTATACAAACAACACTACAGAATATGAAGCTTGCATCATGGGTCTGAACATGGCAATAAATCTTAATGTGCATGAACCGCTGGTGATGGATGATTCAGATTTGCTTATTCGTCAGGCTCAAGGTGATTGGGAGACTTGAGACATTAAGCTCATTCCATATAGACAATGTGTGGAAGTTCTTAGTAAAATGTTCAAGTCCCTCGAGTTCAGGTACATTCCCATGTTTCACAATAAATTAGCTGATGCCTTGTCCAACCTGGCCTCAATGCTTCCATATCAGCGTAATACTCACATTGACCCACTAGAAATTGAAATTATGGTTATTGCAATACAATTGAAGTAGAACTAGACGGTGAACCATGGTACCATGATATTAAACAGTTTCTGAAAACAAGAGAATATCAAGAACATACTAATAGGGATAAAAAGAGAACTTATGGGCGACTCTCTAATGGTTTCTTTTTGAGTAGGAAAATCCTATACAAAAAAACCTCCGATTTGAATTTAATGAGATGTGTGGATGCCAAAGAAGCTGAAATGATTATGAATGAAGTGCGTTCAGGAGTATGTGGTTCGCACATGAATGGATATGTTCTAGCCAAGAAAGATTATTGGCTTACTATGGCGCAAGATTGTTTTTGTTTTGTTCGCAAGTTGTACTAATGTCTGATTCATAATGATTTGATTGACTCACCTCCTTCATAGTTATATCCTATGTCGGCTCCTTGGCCTTTTGTTGCTTGGGGAATGGATGTCATTGGCCAATCGAGCCAAAAGCTTCAAATGGGCATAGATTCATCTTGGTTGCAATTGATCACTTCACCAAATGGGTGGAAGCTACTACATTGAAGGCACTCACCAAGAAATTGGTAGTAAAGTTCACTCCAACATCATTTGTCATTTCGGTATTCCATAAACCATTATTACAAATAATGGTGGTAATTTGAATAGACATATGATGAAGGAGGTATGCGAACAATTTAAAATTTAGCATCGCAATTCTACTCCTTATCGCCCCAAAGCTAATGGAGCTATTGAAGCTGCGAAAAAGAACATCAAGAAGATTTTTAGGAAGATGGTCCAAGGGTCTAGAAGATGGCACGAGAAGCTGCCTTTTGCTCTTTTGGGATACCGAACAACTGTTGGTACATCAGTTGGTGCAACACATTACTTGTTAGTTTATGGAACTGAAGCAGTCATACCTGTGGAAGTTGAGATTCCCTCTTTCCGAATCATTGTTGAAGTAGGGATCGGGGACACTAACTAGGTCAAGTCCCGATTGGAATAGTTGAGTTTAATTAATGAAAAGCTTTGGGTGGCATTTTGTTTTGGTCGGCTATACAAACAAAGAATGGCACGCGCTTACGATAAGAAAGTGTGCCCAAGAAAATTTGAGGTAGGGCAGCTTGTTTTAAAATGCATCTTTCTGCACCAGGAAGAAATAAAAGGAAAGCCCCGAATTAGCAAGGTCCTTACCTCCTCAAAAAAGTATTGTCAAAATGAGCTCTACACTTGGCAGATATAGAAGGAAAGGTGCCCGATATATCTGTCAATGTAGATGCGGTCAAGAGACACTATGTTTGACACACCTCTGTAGGGGCATTTTTTATCCTTAGCATTATCAAGTTGGGATGACGAAAGGCTATCATTCTTGCTACCCAAACACTGGTCATCCCTAGTTAGCCCTTTTGAAACCTTGTTTATATTTCATTGTTTTCCCCTCTTTTTGAACCAATGTCAAAAAAAAAAAAATCAAAACAAGTTCACATTAATTAAACTACGTCCGGCCTGATTCCAAAAGGATACGTGGTGTGGTATCAGAGCCAGCCCATCCTTTCGGAGGGAGGAACATTTTATTAAATATGTCTGAGTCATTTCCATCATCCTCTTCCCTAGCGAAAATGAATATGTCTCCTACTCTATACAAAACTCTATCAAAAAAATATGATTACCTCTATGAAATCGATATCCTACCCGATGAACAAAAAGTATCCTCTACTGAAACCTCTCATAAACCCCTACTCATCTTTTGCTAAAAAAATCCTTTTCACCTTGGACCCAAATCCGTTCTTTAGTCCAACACAGACCAAAAGGAGTCAAAGATTATGTTGTTGCATCAAAACTTGACCAGCATCCTATATCCACTCGAGAGGAACAATTTATAACTCTTCAAATCCCAGATGATTTTCCGAGAGATCATGGTTTTACCCATATCCATTTTGGTGCTATCCGAATTGCTCTAACATATCACAGAAGAAAAGGTCAACCTGTTGTAGCTCGACTTTCTCCTTGGTCTTGCCTTTTCTTGGTGTGTTTCTGTGACAGCCTCACTCCGGGGTTCGGTCATACCAAAATAAAAATCCATATTTCCCTAATATTCAAAGAAATTGGGTCATGATTTTATTTTATTTTTCGACGACTTTTCCGTCAAAAATGGTTCCAAAAGTTGTAATTTAGTTGAATAATTCTTTTTACCTTTCCGTTTTAAGACCTTCTGATCAACTTTTGGGAATGCTAAGTCGATAAACTACGGGTGATGCCTCAGCCATTGTAAAGAGAGAGAAATATATGAAAGAGTCTTATTAGTGAAAACCCTCACGGGTACTATAAGGCAATGGTGAGTTGAGAGAAAGATAAATGAGAGAGGTAGTTGGTGAAAACCCACAAGGGCATCATTGATCGATTTAGGTCTACATATATCCTGGCACAAGCATGGTTAAGACAAAGAACTCAGTTTCAAAGGAAGTTTACAACATATTTCGATAATGAGACGATTCAGACGGATCAGGCATCCAGTCCACAGTGCATATCATGTTCATTGTAGTCAGCATAGTCATCCAGATTAGTCCTTTCTTATTTTATCCCTTGAAAGGTGTGCTTCTTGATTAAGTTGTAATACCTATTAATTCACCTCCTTTTTTTGCATTACTTTTTTAGTCCCTTTCAGTAAAATCTTGTCAAAGAAAAGCAAAGAAAAAGTCGCAAAATTTGTTATGGTTTCCCTGTTGTATGAAGGGAATCTCTGGGCATAAACAGTATGGGCAAAGGTATAAAGCCTTCTTTGATTTTCCTTAACGAGCAAAATATTTTAAGGACTGGACAATGTTTCAAAGTTCACCAAAAGTTACTTAGTCAAAAGTTGTTTTGTGAAGCACACTATCAACACAAATGGTGATAGGCACAAAATAGTCAGGTGTTGATGTTGTGAAAGAAGATCTTTAGAAAGTAAAGACAGAGTCTCCCGGCAATTTGTACAACTATCGACAGAGGCAATTTTTCTAACAAGTGTAGGGGACGCAAGGTAAAGACGCCCAAGAGATCAAGGCCACAAATTGACCACCATATTAAAAATAACGAATCTTTCTTTGTTCAGAACGGGAATAGACGATTTTAGGAAACACTTCATGGAATGGCGAACATCTCCAGGTGAAGTTCTCGAATCCTTCATTTCCTTCTAATATACATGTAATCATGCTATTTTTAGTTTCATTATAGGAAATATTCTATTTTCACCTCAGGGTACGACATCCACATGATGCATTACTTTTTGTCCTACATAGAGCATCCCAGAGTTTCATGAGCCTCATTTTATTTCTAACACATGGTACTTCATCCGCTGATGAAATTACGTTTTGTCCTACATAGAGTACGAAATTCTCCAGTAGCATCCTAGAGTTCCGCGAGCCTTATTTTATTTCTAACACTGCGTACTACATCCCCTGATGAAGTTACTCGCTATCAACATAGGGTACAACATTCCCTAGTAGCATTTCAGAGTGCCACAAGCCTAAATTTATTGCCTACATAGGGTACAACATTCCCTAGTAGCATTTCAGAGCGTCACAAGCCTCATCCTATTCCCAACACAGGGTACTACATCCCCTGGTCGTGTTACATTCTGCCAGCATTGGATACGATATTCCCTAGTAGCATATCAAAGTTCCACGAGCCTCATTTTTTACGCAAATATAGGGTATGACATTCCCTAGTAGCATCCCGAGTGGCACGAGCCTCACCTTATTTGTAACGACCCAACCAGTCATTTTGAGCTTCAGCGCGTCATTCAGCAGTCTGAGGCGATGAGCAGCTTCATCTCAGATATATTGATTTGTGTGTATTGTAAGAATTAAAATTCAGGAAGTTTGAAGTCAAATTTAAATGAAAATTCTCATTTTAAAAGCTTAAAGTTGAAGAAATGAACTAGGATTAGAATTTTGAGTAAATGACCTTGGAATCAGGATCCAAAGGTTCTAGCAGGTTCGTATGATGATTTCACACTTGAGCGTATGCCTGGATCAGGTTTTGGATAACCCGGGAGCATTTTGGCGCCTATTGTGGAAGATAGAATTTTAGAAAAAATGCATCAATTTGGCTTAAAATGCATTTCAGTGTTATTGATGTCCGTTTGGGATTTCGAGACTAGGAGTAGCTCCGTATGGTAATTCTAGATTTAGGAACGAAATCAGAAATGAATTTGGAGGTCCATAGGTCATTTTAAAGCCGTTTGGCTAAAGATAGAAATTTGAAGGTTTTTGTGAAAATTCGACCAGTAGTGGAAATTTTGATATCGGGCTCGAGATGTGAATTTTATGGGTCTGATAGCTTCGTTAGGTGATTTGGTACTTAGGAGTGTGTCCGGAATATTTTTGTGATGACCGGTGTAGAATTAAGCTTGAATTAGCAAAGTTAGTATTATGGCAAATTCCGGTTGATAGGTGAGATTTTGATCCGAGCATCAGAATGGAATTTTGAAAGTTGTTGTAGCTTCGTTATGTCATTTTGGACTTGTGTGCAAAATTTGAAGTTAATCGGACGTGATTTGATAGATTTCGACAGCGGAAATAGAAGTTGGAAACTTCAAAGTTCTTCAAGCTTGAATTGAGGTGTAATTCATGGTTTTGTCATTGTTTGATGTGATTTGAGGCCTTGAGCAAGTCCGTAATGTGTTTTGGGACTGGTTGGTATGATTGGTTG